TGCTCGTTTGGACTGGTACATATTGACTCACAGACCATTCCTCAGTGCAAGTTCGTGCCGTCACCACGCCAGTGGACTTTGTTGCCATTTCCTACAGCTGCTTGTTCCTTGTGTGGACAATTCCTTGTGGACTCCTCGTGCTTCCCCCTGAGTGACTTTGCGAATACTCTTCGAATAAACTACGCCAAGTGTTGGCTTCAACAATACCTGCCTGTTGTCGTGCTCTTGGGGTCACACCCAAACCCTAACAGGCTGGGTGTTACAGCCATCTCGTTACCTCCGCGTCCTAGACGCATAATTTTCCCACGGGACGCACAGTTCCAAATAATGTGCGTTTTTGGGACGCAAGGAAATTTCTCAGTCAAAACAAACAAACAAACAAAAAAACTACAGCAAGCCTGAGGATTTCACGGTAACAATAGTTATCGGTAGCGTGTCATTTCCGTGGTGTCATTTTAACGGTACCGAAAAATAGTTTTACCATTAAAGTCACCGCACACGACTTGACTATGTGATCAACGCGATTTCACTGTGCCTCTATGTGTGTTTGTGGTGTGGTGTGTGAGTGTGTTTCTTCTAATTTACTTTGGTTTTGTTTTGTTTTCAGTGTTGGGGGGGACGCAACTGATAACATTATGTGCGCATGCGGGTTGCTATTTTAGTCCGCAAACTGAGGAATCGCGCGGATGAAAGTTTGAGATGGCGGCGAAAATAACTCACAAAGGTCTACTAATTACGACATTTAAGAAATGGGAATGCCAGTCTGATTTTTCGTATGAATCGTCCGAAGGGCGTATCATTAAACTCACCTGGGATGTATGCACAGAACACGAGAGCGAGATACGACGAGAGGCACGATTACTCGGCAAGTTGGTCATTAGATTTGTAGGCTAATCGCTATGAAAAATATTATGAAACAGTATTGGTTATTCTATAATTTACCGGTTGTAGCATGGTACCTTTATGAATAAAACATTCGTCACAAGGTGTAGTAATGCTAATGTTAACTGTTGGTAGAACTAATGATGACGTGTGTTAAATTTGAAGGTTGTTTGAAAAAAATGCCGACCGTAAAGTTTTTTTTCGAGGTTGATTTTCTCGATCGGTCGGGTTACCGGAAAAACACTACTTTTTTTTCTACGCCTAAGCATTAATTGGGTTACCAAAGTGGACTTTTTGTACGTCATTAGATTTTTTTTTAATGCATTGATGCATGGAATCTGTGGCTTTTTTAATACAATAAATAGCACACTAAATGAGAATCTACTGGTGAAACCGTTCCCGTATATGAAACAAATGGACAAAATGTTCCCTCTTGGACTGTTGTTCTTTTTATAGTTACAATAGTGTTCCTGTAGGTCAGGGGTGTCAAAGTCAAATGGACGGAGGGCCAGATAAAAAAATTTGCTGCAAGCCGAGGGCCGGACTGATCGAATGTTCATTGAAAATTTTAAAAATGACCACATATTGTTTATTGAACCAAATTTAATTGACTGAAAACCTAACAAATACATTCCAATACGGTCAGATAAATAAAGCAACATTTTTTTATGGCTATGTCAGTAAACTTTAATTTTCAACAGGCAAAAAAAAATTTCCTTTGTATAAAAATCCCCATAACATGAATGAAAGAAGCCGATATTATTCAAGG